GAAATAAATCAACTTTTTGATGATATTCTAATTATATGACCAGCACCGTATATATATATATATATATATAGTTTTCTTTATATAGAACACATACAAATCATCTATCATCCAAGCCCCATACCCACTCCACCATGTACATGTACACAGTGTAACTGCAGTACATGTACATGTACACAGTGTAGCTGCAGTACATGTACACAGTGTAACTGCAGTACATGTTGAATCCTATACACCCTTTAATAATTGGTCAAACAAAGTCTCAGGAATATGGTGTTTTTTTTTTCGATTTGAGTGCAAATCTATCACAAATGAATTAAGACAGATGTAAAATGAACAGATGAGAAAGATAATTATATCAATTGAAATTAAGATATCTGTCGTCTTCACATCAAAAATGTATTTTCCAGCATATAAATTCCGTTTGGCTTCTGCTACTTCAGGATTATGGTTTGGGGGATTATGGGGGCCTGGGGCCCATAGCTCATTTTTGTCGGGCCCCCTTGAGAGGTTAATCTGGCCCTGCTGTAATTATCCTACTGCCTGTACCATCCTTGTGGTTATGTTTAAGCACAAGGCTGCGCATATGAAAAGTGACAATGCTTGACAATACATCATTTAAATTCAAAGCCTTTTTTTAATTGGTCCAAGAAAGACTTGAAAAATAAGACACACCTACACACACCTCCAGAGAGAGAGAGAGAGAGAGCGTCAGTTTACTGACAGAGATTGAGTCTCGGGGCTCCAGCAGGGACCAGGCACGCTCTGGAACAGTTTACCCAGAATATGGACTTCACATTCCGGGTTGCTATCGGCGGAGCGGCGGTGGTCAGGGTAGGAGCCTCTATCTTTCCTCTCCTGTCTGCTTCATATCCTCTTCTCCTCCTCTGAGGGCAGCGGAGGAACTTCACCGGCATCTCCGGAGCAGCGCGGTCGGGAGTCTCAGGCTGTGTTTGAGGGAGGCGGGGGTTCGATGCGGAGCAGACCGCTGGTGACCTGAACTTCATTTCCTTCCTTTCTGGCTGCTGCGGTCGGGAGGTTGCCTTTCAGCATAATGATCCAGTTCTCCAGAACTACCAGAAAACCGAACAAGACCAGTCCGAAGCTGCAGTGGGAGCTGTGAGCGGACGCAGCGGGCATAATGCGGACTTTGTGCCCGGTCTGAGCGCAGCAGTCTGCGGAGAGACGAGCTGGCCGGCTGGATGAGCCGCAGCAAGACTTTCTATTTTCGTGAAGGTAAGAAAACGAGATATGAATGCAGTCTGGGCTGGTAATTCTGTATGTTATCAACATGTCATTTTTCCTTTCATTCCCATTCAGGGAATTTCCCCTTTGAACTAATTCATGTCCAAATAATTATGAATAAACAGTTACCACCAGAAGTAAACTGTAGCAATTTAGAAATGACTGTACTGTAATATTTGCTACACTTTTTTCATTAATACCTTCACCCACTTCATTTTTCATTAGGTCTGAAATAAACAACAACATATAGACAGGTCCTGCTGGTGGTACTTAGCATGGACTCTCTCTCTCAAGGCTCAAACCAAAAGAAGAAGCCGACAGTTTATTCTCCAAACTGGGGCAGTGCTGCTTTGCAACACACGCTATCTTCTTTAATATAGCCTACACTTTGCATGGGCACATTCATAAATATATCATATATAAGATTGATGCCAGAGAAAAATAAGGCGGTGAGGTCAGGTCACCATTATTGGACTCGGTTTAATGCCTTGTTTGCCCCCCCCCCCCCCCAAGGAACATTACATAACTGTTGAACTGCCTTGGCCACAAATCAATGCAATCTGTCAATTGGCTGCTGCTGCCTGGTGCCATTGTATTAATCATCACTACCACCCAGCTAACGACCACTAATAATACATTATCATCACTTCCTTTGCTGGAACTGTATCGGATAGTGAACTCAAATGTGCAGCAGTTCAGGGAATTTTATTGATGTGTGTGTGCTTTCTCCCCTTCAATCCACCTCAATAATGAGGTTTTTGTTTGGGAGCCAACTAATACTGATGCTTAAATCTCTCCACTTTATTTAAATTGCATGACCTTGTGCTGCGCAGCTGCACCTTTCCTCATTGCGAGAGGCCCACATCGATCTCAGTTTTGTCCCTGTGCAAGACATTTGTCTTGTCTTACCTCGGCTGACAGGCTGCGTTCATCACCATTCCTGCACTCCTCTCCTCCAGCATGGCTAAACTCAATGAGTAAAGGGAAAAGAGGAATGCAAAGTGTAATTCAGCAATCATTAACAGCACATATTTGGCTTTGTAACACATCTTGTGTTAATACTGTATCGGACACCACCTCTTTAACCCCACTCCTTAATAATTCACCCTAAAGAGGAGTCCTTCCTTGTGCTGTGGGACAGGGCACAATCATACAGGGTCGACAGCGTAACAGATTCATGGTGCTCATCAGCGAGCCAGTTGCCTCTTTCCCTAGCTCGCCTCATTGTTCACATAATGCATTTGACTGCCATGTTTTGATCCTTTGAATTTGGTCTTTTTTTATGCTCTTTGTTCAGGTTCATGGTTTTTGACTGTGGAAAGAGAAAAATAAGTGTTAGTTAGTGTTAGTTTCCATTTCAGATTTGGGCTCATGTTACTGATCTGCACATAAATGTGTTTTTCCCACCATTTCCCCACCTTTGCCCTCAGTCTCTTCAAATATCCTTTTCCACTAGATGTGTCTGAGGAATATGCAAGCAACCTGTAAGTCATCTGTTTGCTCTCCCAATTTACAATGCTTTGCATTCGTGGAATAGAAAGGGAAAATAAATCCTTTAGTGTTCCTTTAGTGAAAGCATGCATTTTGAGGAAATAAAACCAGACTGATTTTCCCATAATTCTTATTTTGCAACAGGTTTCTGGAACCAAATGTCAAATCAAGAGAGAAGCTTTGTGGAACCATCAGTGTGTGACGTGAAAGGGAAGGAAGCGAGGAAGAGGACGTCCACAGATAACCCTCTGTGTGTGTTGTGCATGTCAACACCGAGTGCTGTGAAAAGAGCTCTACCCGGTGGTAAAAGAGAAGAGAGGGTGAAAATGTGATGGATTTAAACAATGTCTCCCAGCTCAATTATGGACAGTGGCTGGTGAAGGAATCATATTGCTTAATGAGATCATTACTCTGGTGTTGGGAAGCTTAGGACAACTAACTACCAAGGGATTACTCAAGACACTCTTAAGCACCAGGCCGGACATGATGGTGTTATTAAGCAGACAAAATCCAATGACTGTTCTGTTGGATTTGAATCCTAATTTGTCACATTTCTTTCTGATTTGGTGTCTGTATTTTCTCTGATCTGTTTGAAATGGAGATACAGTGGCGTCTGTGGAATAAGGACTGGTCCTCCTTTATAAGGCCGTGGATACCTATACTGTTGGGCCTTCACCTCCAGTTCTCCCGGGCCTCCAACTGTCCCGAGGAGTGCCGCTGTGATCGCACCTTTGTTTACTGCAATGAGCGGAGCCTGACCTCAGTGCCTCTGGGAATCGGTGAAGGTTACAAAACCCTTTACCTCCACAACAACCAAATCAATAACGCTGGTTTTCCCCTGGAGCTCCACCATGTGGCCTCTGTGGAAACTGTGTTTCTCTATGGCAACCAGCTGGATGAGTTCCCCATCAACCTGCCCAAAAATGTGAGGGTTCTCCATCTGCAGGAGAACAACATTCAGACCATCTCCAGAGCAGCTCTGGCTCAGCTTCTTTGGCTGGAGGAGCTGCACTTGGATGATAACTCCATTTCTACTGTAGGGGTGGAGGAAGGGGCCTTTCGCCAGGCACTAAGCCTCAAGATGCTCTTCCTCACCAAAAACCACATGAGCAGTGTGCCTATTGGTCTTCCAGATGATCTGAAAGAATTGCGATTGGACGAGAACCGGATCGCTGTTATTGCAGAGGAAGCATTTAGGAATGTCACCCACCTGCAGCGCCTCCTATTGGACGGGAACCTGTTGACAGATGAAGGGATTGCACCAGGGACCTTTCAGGACCTGGTCACCCTCAGGGAGCTGTCCCTGGCCCGCAACTCACTAACATACCCTCCCCCGTTCCTCCCAGGGGAGGTACTCGTCAAATTAAACTTTCAGGAAAATCAGATAAACAGGATCCATGCCAGTGCATTTGCAGGGTTGCACAAGCTGGAGAGACTCGATATTTCTAACAACCAGCTGCAGTCATTGACAGAGGGGGTCTTTGATGGCCTCCGCGGTCTCAGACAGCTCACTGTTCGGAACAACCTTTGGCTGTGCGACTGTAGCATCAAATGGGTGGTGTCATGGCTCAAATCTCTGCCGTCCTCGCTCAATGTGCGAGGCTTCATGTGCCATAAACCTGAAAAGTTCCGGGGCATGGTGATCAGGGAGCTGAGTGCTGAGCTGGTCCAGTGCCCACAGAGCACAGCGGCCGCACCCCTGTCCTCTTCACTGGCTGACACTGCTCTGTCCTCTTCCTCAGACTTCCCCCCCCTGGTCACTCACTATGTTTCCCCCTCCTCCAGGCAACCCTTCCCCAAGTTAACCACCCACTACCCTGTCTATTCAACCAGAGAGGGGGGGTTGAGGACTAAGAAACCTTTAGACCCCAGGAAGGAGACTTTGCAGGTCACGTTTGCCATACTGAATGGCTCAGCTATCCACGTCAGCTGGGTGGCCGCCTTTCCAGTCACTGCCTACAAGGTGACCTGGGCCAGGATGGGTCCCAGTCTGACAGGGGACACGGTCAGGGAGAGGATAGTGGGTGGGGATCACCGAGGGATCCGACTGGCTAACCTTGAGCCAAAGTCAACCTATCGGATCTGTGTCATTCCCTTGGATGCGTTCAATAATTACCGGCCCAAAGATGATACTGTGTGCACTGAGGCCGTGACCACGGTGGCCTCTTTCAGCCCCGACAACAACAACAAAAGACCGTCGGGGCCTGAACAGGCCATGCAACAGGAACCCAGCTCGCCTTTCTTGCTGGCTGGACTGATTGGTGGTGCTGTGATCGTGGTGCTGGTGGCACTCAGCGTCTTCTGCTGGCACATGCACAAGAAGAGCCGCTCCAAGTCCTCCAGCAAGTGGAAATACAACCAGGGTCGGAGAAAAGATGACTATTGCGAGGCAGGGACCAAGAAAGACAATTCCATCCTGGAAATGACTGAGACTAGCTTCCATATAGTCTCACTCAACAACGAACAGCTCCTCAAGGGAGATTTCCACATTCAGCCTATTTACACCCCTAATGGGGGCATCGGCTTCCGAGACTGTCCCCTGGAGAACAACAGCACAGTTTACTGCAAGAACAATGTTCAGGATGCTGACTTTTCTGGCACATGATGGTTTGGGGGAGCATCAGGAGCATTTTTTACTGACAACTACCCACACTTTACTGGACACTGTACAGTGTTAATACTATTTGAAACCCCTGTGTTTTCGAGAAATGTAATTTATACAACTAACTGGACAGTATTTTTGATATAACGTTTGATTTAAAAATGATTGGTTTCTGGAGTTGTGCTGTTTGAGTTCTGTGCGCAGACATGTAAATCAGGATTCATTTATTAAGTAAGTATTAAGGCTGGGTTTTGTTCAAAGTTTTTAAGGAATAGTCAATGTATACTGTAACCAAGACAGATACAGAATCCTCACTGTAGGTGCAGTGCATCATACCAGTACTGAAAGCAGCTGGTCCAACTCTGCATGAGAGAAGGAGAAAAGAGACTGACACGAATCAGCCACACTCACCACTAGAGGGTGTCGTTTTCTGGAAACCATACAGCCCACCTCACTTTTACTGTGACTGTTTTTCATCAAGTCATCACAGTTATATGGCATATTTGTTTAATTGGCACTACAGTCGATAGAGATGCAAATTATTGGATTCCTGCTCTAGGAAGAGGACATATTTTATGCAAATTGGATTTTACTCTGCTTCAAAAGGAAATGTAAAGGTCACACTCATTAAACATTCACAGAAAGTGGCAGGCTGCAGTGCTTTCCTCTGCTTTTCAAGATGAATACATTATCAGTTAAGGGGTCACGTTATTAGTGCTGGCTGTGTTTGATGGTGGGTATCACAGTGAGCCACAACAAAGAAGCACATCTGCCATCTACTGTATGTTTAACCAATTAAGAACCAACTCTTCTCCTTTTGTTCAGCAAAAATAACGTTATGGTTAAACAGTATATATATGTGCCTTGAAGTTATCAGCTTACAATGTCTTTTGAATCCATGTTTTTGCACAAAAGGTGTACTGTATATACAATTGAATTGGTGTTGAGGAAATCTCTTGCTCATGATTATTTATTTACCTCGTTACACATTTAATTAAAAACATATCTCCAAAAGTGAACTTATCCCTCGTGATCTGTCCCAGAATAATCACTGACTCAAACTGTTACAATACTCAGGTGGGAGAGCTCAGCAGTATAGCAGAGGTCTGCTTGGAGAGGGAAGGGTCTTTTGAGGATGACTAGTGCAAGTTCAAGAGTCACAAAGAGATTGCACTTAACTTCTACTTAACACAAAACATATTAATGCAGCATCGCTGCTGAACCTTGTGCAGCTGTGGGCATGCACGTGAGAACCAAAGATGTAAAACAATAGGCTGAATTTGTTCAAATTAAAGGAGTATTTAATGACCAGGACAGTGTTGAAAATCTTTCTTTGAACCATTACATTTTTGCTCTCTAAAGCTATCAAATAAGCCTGAAACCTGGAGCTTCCAATACCCCGAACCTGTAACCCTGTAGGTTCTGCCTAGGTTATGTTTTATAAACCGGAATGTTTCGGACACACGCTTCCTTTCTTAAACATAAGTCCTGCATTATTTATTCAGTTTGTTGTGTTGCAGACCAGCTGTGGCTGAGGACCTGGATTCATCAACTAGTGAGCAGTGTAATTTAGGGAAATGTTTGAGTAGCGTGGAAACAAAAGCAGAACCTGTGACAATGGTCTACACCAGGCATGGGCAAACTACAGCCCGCGGGCCATATGCGGCCCGTTGGGCTTTTTAATCCGGCCCGTCAAATACTGGTACAAAATTGTCCAAACTATAATAACGACTAGGGATGGGTGGTATACCTGTTTTAATTTCCCGTATGACATGAATTCTTCACACACCATCATACCAGCATAGCTGAAACAACTGCTGTCTGTCTTCAACATAAATGTATTGTTTGCTGCTGAAAGCACTGTGGTCGGAGCTAGTTGTCTTATATGTATTGAGAGGGAACCCTAGTCATGGTCATAACTTTATAACACAACAATTAATAACCACAACTAATGCTCTTTAACAGAGAAGAACACCACAGCACACAACAGTCTGTGACACATAAACAATTTGTAACACTAATAATTGTACATATATAAAATTTTACCGCCGAACTGCATGCTGGGTACAGCTCACTCGCGAGCCTGCTAGCACAACAGTCTGCTAACAGCTTGGAGAGGCTCCGTCGCTCCAGTAATGTTGCATTAAAGAACAGAACAGAGCGATGCAGGATGAACAAAGACAGACCGGAGATGCACCGATAGAGTTTGACACATATGCAATGCTGATTACTGCATAATATGTGTGGTATTTGTTATAAATGTACGTTGGTGATAAGAAGCTATACTTGGAGGGGCTTAGGACCCAGGGGAATGTAGGTGAAGGAAACAGGAAGAGACGGAAGACACGCCACACAAACAGATGTTCACCGCTCATCACGACCCTGTAGACCAGTGATTCTCAACTAGTGGTTCGTCGCGGACCTGTTTTCAGCGCGTCCTTTGCTTTATGCAGCGGAGTTATTCACGCTCCTTTCCAGCATTTATGGTACTTGTTCAGTGTTGCAGGAAAAACACCGACCAATGCGTTGTAAAACACGTCACGTGATGCAGTTTAGCCAATAAAATAAGGGTATTCTGATACGTTTCCTGACTCCAGTGAGATGTACCCACACCGTGACACGGGGGGAGAGACAAGGAATCACTTGACAGAGCAGAGCCCTGTTAATGTTAAATGTGAAAGTCAAATATCTGTATGATCCCTTCAAAGAATCAAAATTGCTAAATAGACCACAGACATTCACTGATGAACACTTCAGATCTGTTTTGAGAATTGCCACAACCAAACTGACACCAAACGTTGATGCACTGGCTAAAAATGGTGACCAACAACACTATTACCACTGAAATTAAATGTAAGTTTTCTTTACTTTTCAGATAATGGCTTTTACTTGTAATTTATATTAGTTCACACAAACACTCTCCATTAATCTGCTACTGCTACCGGCCCGTCTGTCAAATTTTAAAACTCAATGTGGCCCCCGAGCCAAAAAGTTTGCCCAACCCTGGTCTACACCTATAGAAATAGGAGTAGAACGGACATGTATACTTTACGGCCCAACTGACGTGTGTTGTCACCATAACAACAAACAACTGGCCTTTTCACTCAATGACCACTACAAACAGTTCAATGTCCGTTCTACTCCTTTTATGGCTAACAATTTGAATAGGGGGGTCCCGTTTGGGGCCACAGCCTCAGAGAAGTGGGGCCAGACATGTTGCGGCAGACACATGAAGCAAACATACTGTGGGTACATCCCAAGTCTCTTAATTGTCATTTCCTCGATCCTCGCTTGAACCGGAAGTTGTTCTGCGCCGCCATATTGACGGCCGTCCCAAAGCTCTTATTTCTGCTCTGAGGATCGAGGAGCGAGGAGGGAGGAGGGATCTCTGAGGAGCCATGAGCGAGGACCCACGAGAACAGACTTCCAGGAAGTCTTTTAACGGCTGACACGCCCCCTCATTGTTCATCAGTCATGTGATTGGACGCTGCAGCTGATCGGATTGATGAGATTTTTTTCAACATGTAAACAGTGAAGACAGATCAGATTAAACTCAAGCTTTATATTTGATTCGTTTTCTGATTCAACATCTGGTTTAAATAAATGTTCATTGTAGACTGAACAACAAAAGGACCACAAACAACTTTCTTCATTTAGTAGAAAGATTTGCGTTTTCAAGATCTGATGTTTCCCTCAATAACTGTTATTATGGATACAATTAAAGTCAGAGAGAGCTGGAGAGAAGAAACACTTTTTTAAATATTTGTATCATTTTCATTCAGTCACGTGAGGCTGATCATTCCTGAGTGTCGGGTTTGATGAGTTATATCATTTAAGATCAGGCTTTGGGACGGCCGTCAATATGGCGGAGAAGAACAACTTCCGGTTCAAGCGAGGATCGACAATTAAGAGGCTTGGGATGTACCCTAAGAGACTTGGGATGAACCCTAAGAGACTTGGGATGTACCCTATATGTCAATTAATTTTCCGGAGTGATTTTTTTTTTTGGCAACATACCAGTAGTTGTAAGTGAAATAAATATGTATGTGTGTGTGCATACATATACATATATATATATATCATACAATACAGCTCAGAACTGGTAATGTAATTTCACTTCATATAAAAATTACAACAGAAGCTATTTTACTTACATCGTACTCCTGAAGTAATTAAAGTGTTTATAATCCAAAGGGAAAAAACCTGAAATCCTGGAATAAAGGACCGGATATGGGAAGAGTCGGACCAGATCTCAGTGGAGTAGGACCAGTTCCGGTAGAATCAGAGCAGACATGGGTTGTTTCGCTACAAACACTAAACACAGTGTATGTGGTCCTTGTGCATAAATTACATATATTAATTGACAATTCTAACGCTACTGTGATGTCCATATCAAATAAAATAAACATAACATAACATAAATAGTACCCGGTCTGGGTAGAACCAGACCGGAATAGGGTAGAATAGGACCAAACCAGTACTAATTCACTGTATGTTAAATATAGTGTGGTCTAGACTTGCATGCACAACAATGTAGGCTTGTACAGTCACTGAACTATTGCTAAAAGTTTTTGGTAGGATCATATTTAGGCGATTTTCAAAACTTTCCCTTCATACAATTCCTTACATATTAAGGACACAAAATCCAGCTAATTTGTTTTTGTTGCAGTTTGTGTGAGGTTGACCCACATCTTTAGGTCAATTGCCCGGACTCATTTGTATAGAGTTTGGTTTGATTTGCATTGTTGTGGATTGCATGTGAAGATCATGAGCTGTAACTTCAGAAGACTTGAAAGTCCTTTATTCCACATTTCCTAATGGAAAACGATAACCCTCTTTCTTTTTATCTTCGCTAATTAGAGTTGAAAATGTATCTTTAAAAGTACAGGAACAGTATGAAAGATGCATAAGTTGTGAGACAGGATACTGTACTTCCTTGGTTGAAGTGCCTCAGGGACATCCGGGATCTAATTACTCTGACTTCTTCTTTATTCTGTATAAAGTGTGTTGGACAGTATCTAATCTTTCTAAAGCCACAGATCCATATTCTTTGTCAGCGACGCAGACATTAGATCTTTCTAATATGTCTTAGTAGATACACACAGAGGCAGGAACAAAAGAAAGCAGAGATGGCTGCAACAGTCTGCAGCTTCCCTCCCAGACCATAATTTTAGATCGCCAGTGAGCCAAATCTTTGGATAATTCTGGTTCTACCAATCAGTGATGATAACTTTGATGATATAAGCAAAAAAGTCAGGCAGGTCAAGAAACGTGAGCAGTGCAGATCATCCCAGGTTGGTCAAATTTATGGTGAGCAGCAAAATGATGACCCAAGCTGTCTGTTCCACAAGCTGCCCACTTCCTGCTTGAACTTTGACCACCTTAGGTGGGTTAGAAAATCTGGATAAACTGTTGCTTTGTTAACAAGCTGTGACTGCTCGTATTTCTTTTTCCTTTTCATCAATGTCACCATTTTCTTACATCTCAGCAATTACTTTGGAAAACACAATGAACCTCAATCACCGTCCTTAAGAAGACGTTTCTTCTTGAGACCTGCTTGTGCAGTTTTCCTGAAGACTCTGACATTTGCCAATATTTTCTTATTTGGGACTTGTTAGGTAAGAACAAAATCGACACACACTCATGAACACACTGAGGCACATTTGAGTGCTGACATGTTTGTGCAAAATAACTGGTTATTGTGTTATCTTCAATTTGACAGTTTTTATAACATTATTGTAATCCAATTGTTATACAAATTTCAACAATATTCAATTATCATTTTTTATTAATTATTTAATTTTTTCTACAAAGCGTTATGTTTTTTTTTTAAAGAAGGCATTACACTAACACTTCAACACTAAACGATTTTATAACCACTTCTGATGCTATTTCATGTTTACCACCTTATTTTAAACTTATTGAATGCCTTGTTTTAAACATACATGTTCCCCTAAATTCATATTGTCTCACTCTAATGACAAACAACCTCTGAACACAGTTAGGAAGAAAATGGTTTGTGCTTATTACATTATCGTTCATTATTGTTCAGTTCAAACCTAACATTATAAACTTCGGTCCGGTGCTCCACCCTTTTTATAGATCTTCTTTTGGGCATTCTTGACTTAATGCTCTCTTCTCAACTTATATGCATGCACACGGTCTTCAGTCTCATTTCCTTTATGGTGGATAGACAGGGCGTTTACCTTTAATATTTAGGATCAACTGCATATGTCTTCCATTTACCATTATAATAGGATTTACCATTATAACAAACAATGGTGCGCTTTAAGAACTTGTCGTGAATCAGACTTTTCTTAAGAACAAAGTTTAGAACAAACTTAATAGACTGGAATTATCATTTAACAGCTACTGTTGTGTGAATTTTGCATTTTAATAATGTTAATACAACACTCACTTGCTATATACAGTATATACTCTCTTCTCTCTGCCCATACTGACCATAAAGCTATACATGTTATCCTGCACTGTAGAATCTACAGTCCTTGTTGCTGCTAAAATGCACACCACAGATCACCTGAAACTCATGTGAGGCGTCAGCAGTCAGAGTAAGACAAATCAACCAGATGTCTTTCTCTCTGCAGGACAAATAGTGTCTTTACATAGTGGTTTAAAAAAGCCTGTATTAACTTCTCCATGGAGGAATCCTCATCAACATGTTAAGTTATGTTTCAATTCTATGAAAAACATTACATTACAGTCATTTTAGCAGACACTTTTATCCAAAGCGACTTACAATTCAGATTCTATCACATTCATA